TGTGTGTGTGTGTTTTTATAATTGAACATTTTAATTAATTGATAAATTAAATTTTATATAAAATCATTGTTTGAATAAAAATGAGTATAAGTCACATTGTCATAAATTAATTACTTTTCTTTAATTTATATATATATAACTAAATTATTATAATTTTATTGACTTTTTTATTGTTGCTAAATAAAAATATGAAATGAGTGTAACTAAAAAATAGTTTTAATTTTTGAAATGGTAAATAAAATAAATTAAACTTCTGTTTAAAAAAATAATTGATATTTTAAAAGGTGATGATACTTTTCAGTTTGCTTTATTATTAATATTAGTGAAAAATAGACAATTTATGCCTCTTAATTCTTTTAAAAATGTTTAAAATAATATAATAAGAAATAATGAAGTGGATAGAGGGTTGTAATTAAAAGAGTGTGAGAAGATTTATAATCCATTAGAGTTTTTAAAAAATAAAAAATAATAAAGTAAATATTTATTAAAAGAGTGTAAAGAGCAAAGACATTAAATTTTTTTTTATTTTTTATTTTTTTCTAAACAATTAAAGAGTGTAATAATCTAAGTGGAGAAAAAAATTATTATAAACAGAGACATCCTTGATATAAATTCTTTTTGCTCCCATATTGTATTATTTTGTTATCATAAAGAATTTAGTTTAGTTGTGTAAGTTATAACATTAGATATTGTGTTGATTATTACTTATGTATACACTTTTAAGAAATATATTAAGTGTTTCAGGAACCACTGATATATAGTCCTACATTAATAATAATTGGATATGAATCATATGATTATGTAAAATTTAAAGAATATTAAAATAGTTTGCATATTCATGATAGGCAATAAAATATAGATGGTCTAAAATTAGGTGAATTACCCTTTTAAAAATCCATCTTAAACAGCTTGGTATAATGAACCAACTGAAAGTACCCACCGAAGTGGACCCAACAGTAATAATAAAATAAAAGTACCAAACTAATGAAATAATGTGACGAGAACAGTACAAAAGTTTTAGTTTACTTCATTTTTGTTCTCTTAGGGGAAGTGGGGTCTAACTTTTTTGTTGGATTTTAGGTAGTACCTTAAAAGGGTAGGAGACTGCAAAACCAAAATGAAAAAGAAAAAAGTTAATTCAATTTTCATACATTTTCACACTGAAATTTTTACATTAACAACTAATTAGAGATTAATTTAAATGTTACTTCAAAGTAATTATAATAACAAATAACAATTTTACCCTATATGATGATCTATGATTTGATAATAATGTATAAATTTTACATTAGTATACTTTTATTAAATTCAAATATTAAACATTTTGTAACAAAAAATACTTTATGTTATGTTAAATTTTTCTTATCTTTTAAGTGAGAATATTTTTTTTTAATGCTCACTATAAAACTAATTTTTCTTATGATATTTGAACGTAAATATCTTCTTTTAAGAAAAATAAATAATAATTAAACTTATTTTATAAAATTTATTTTAAATATCATGCCTGAGAATTTATTCCTAAAAAAGTAGTTTATTTAGGAAAAAAAAATTCTTATACCAAACACTATGGACAGATTAACTATTGCACTATATAGTTTAAGGATTTAAACATAAACATAAAAGCTCAAGTTGCCTTGAATATGAAAATTGGTAAATGATACTAAATTTTCGTACAAAAACAAATATTTTATTATTATTATTTTCAAGCTTGATGTAATATAAACATTGATTCCTAAAATAGACTCTAGAAAATGGGTCTTACCATTCAAAATTTCCAAGATCCTATTTTTTTTTATATAAATAAAATTGTGTAAGCAATTGATTACGTAATTTTATGTCAAGATTACTGATTTACTCATACAATCCGAATCCTCCTTTTGAACTATTAGTAACATGATTTTTTAAAGGTATTATTGAATAATATTTCAAATTTAAATAAAAATAGTCAATTTAAGTTTTAAAGTTTTAAATATTTTAAATCCTGCGTTTTTGTTTTTCTACTATCTTCACAACTCTTTTTGGACTTTTTATTATTATTTTTATTTAATAAGTGAACCCGTTAATCAGCCCACCAAGTTAGTGGATTGAATTGGGCTAATACTTCGAACTCAAGCCAATCCATGACAAGTTAATCTGGAGGAACTAAATTGACTCATTTTAACAAAAAAAATTACAGATTTTAACAATTCTAACTCTGAAGCTATCAAACATTCAAACATTTCTCAATTGTAATAAGATTATAATCTAATTATTCAAAGCTTATCATCTATAGCTAATAAAAAATGCGATAAAGAGCTTTGGTTTCCATAGAGAGAGAGAACATGACAAAACTCACAAAATTAAAAAACTTGAATGGAACCAAATGCATAAAATTATTTTATTCTATCTTAGTTCCACTTCTCCCTATTTTACCTTATTCCGCTTCACCGTGAGAGGATTGCAACTTACCAATAAAGGGGAGAAAATAGATTTGCAAGGTCTAAACTCCCCTGCCAGTCTTCAGTATTGCCATCACATTAAAATTAAAAAATAAAGAGCAAAACATTTCAGTTAAATTCGAACTCCGTCACGGTGGTAAAGAGCAACAATTTGAAGCTCCATCATGCATTAATGGAGCTGGTAACAAATGTTGAAAGTATTCATGTTAAACCATAGTTTTAAAAACCGGACCGGTCATCGAACCGGTTAAGGTATTAAGTCAGTGGGTCAAAGGTTGAACCGGTGGGTCACTGGTTGAACCGCATGACTCGATTTTTATTTATTTTTATTAAAAAATATTCATATTAAATATATTTATACTTATAAATTTTAATAAATTCATATCTTATTTTAAATTTAAAATTTTCTATCTTATTTAAAATTATTTTTATTTTTATTTTGTAAAAAAATACATAAAAAAATTACATGTTAAACGGTATATTAATACAAATTAAAAATATAAATAATATGTACATATATAATATGCTTGCAATTAATATCACAAAATAATATATGTAATATTTACATAGATATTGAATTATTAAATATATAATTTAAAATTAATAATATACTATAAAAGTTATTTAAGTTGTATATATTGCAAACAAATATATTAGAACAAGTAGTCATTGTTATATTTAATAAGACTCCTTGCTTTTTCATTAAGAGATTCAATTTTCATTATTATTTTTGTGATTTATGGTCCCTTAAAAAATTTAAAAAAAAAAAAAAAAAAAAAGTGGTTGAACCGGTTTGACCCACCGGTTCACCGGTTGAACCGGAAAATTGACCGGTTCAATCCGGTTTGAAACGGGTCGACTGCATAACCGATCCAACTTCAGATTCGGACCGGCTGGACCACCGGTTCCCGGTCCAACCGGCCGGGTCGGTCCGGGTTTTAAAACACTGTTAAACTGCTCTATAGTAAATAGCTATGTCATAAACTGACAGATAGTCACTAATAAATATACAAGGTATACATATCGAAACACTTTCTGCACAAGCTAACCTCTAATCAGAGTCAGACATGGGACTACTAGGGCTCATGTCATTGTCAGGGCTTCCAGCACACATGTATTCTGCAACTTTTTTGGGAACGTTGGGTATCACTAGGGTTCCACCATTATAACCATACACCAGCAACTTGGCTATTTTAGATCGCCACTCTGACCTGTCCTCATTTTTCCTGTCATGCACAACTCTGTCACAGTAGTTAAGCATTGTTCCCAGGCCAGTATTTGGTGTCCAACCATATTCCATTAGCACCTTCGCCTCACCTTCGGTCAGATCTTCTCCAACCTATGCGAGACAAACAATTTAGCATTGCAAGTTTCCGTTTGGGGTGGGGGAGAAAGCAATAATGAGAGCAACTTGTGCCTTGATTCTAAGAATTCACATAGGAACAAAAAGTGTGGAAAATAGTAGCCAAGAAAGATCAGTGAGTTAAAAATCACAAATAAAAAATAAATGAATATTCAACCTGCTATATTTGATTCTAATCACTTTGTGAATACAAAAAACTACAAAACTAAGCAAATACATAAAAAGAGAAAAGATAGTGGAAATTCAAACAATTGTCTCATGATTAGCTAAACCATAAAACCTAACAAATGCATTAATAATAAGCAATAAGCATTAAATAGAAATAAGCCATCTTGACAAGAAAGATTCATTAACCAATCATTAAAAGATAGGCTGCTTAATTTTTAGGACTCCTCCTCTAGTAAACAAAACATCTAGTAAATATTAGTAATCTAAGATTTTGATTATAATACCAGTGATAGACAACCAAATAATGGGTAGTTATATATCAGGCATGCTTGTCTTAAATAACTTATGGAATGAAGGGTTGGCTGACATCAGTTTCAAGATACAGATGTTATACCAAAAAAACAACTATATAGTTATAATCTCTTCCACATCACACTATTTTTTCTATCCATTTGATCGATCTCAACTTTGAAACCAACCTCCATCTAATATTATGAAAAACAGAATTAAAGCATGCTGCTAACCAAGAAACACAAATAAGTATCGATATGCAAAGTATATGTGTCCAGTCATTCCAATATTCCACTTTTCCCTTGCACCACATTACAATGGCATCCAGGTAACAGGTTGCAGTAGTATAACTATTGGGAGGAAAAACTATCATAACTTAGCATCACAGTGAACTTTATATGTATGGGTAGCACTTTATATGTATGGGTAGCAAGACAAAAAATCTGGTTAGAGTAGTAAGTCATCCAACAGTGTTTAAATATGCATAAAGTCGTTACCGACAATTCTTTATTCTCAATAATGGAAATCCTGCTACAGGTAGTCAGTTTCATAGCTATCACCAACCGCTTGATCTGCCATTCAACAGGTAAGGAGTCTACCAACTCAAAGAAATATGTTGCATAACCATATTCAGGGCGCTCCAGCACTATCCTGCATTGAAGTCTCAAGGCCAACATCATGGAATATAACGGGAAGAAAACAAAGGATCCAAAAACGAACTTCAATGCAAATCAAGCACCTGTTATGTCTCTCAAAAACAAAAATAAATGATTGCAGGTCCCGGCACCAACCCCACTCCACTGGCCATTTTCGAAATTTCAAATATCGTGCCTGTGGCAGAAACAATAAACACACAAAATATGAATTATCTGCAGTATAAAAACAATAATATGGACACTGTCAGTTTGTAAGAAACTAATTACCTGCTCCACGAGTGAGAATAGACAAGCTAAGCAATAACTCGCTCTTGAGGCCCTGGAGGCACGATTAATGGGGAATTTTAAAAAGGAGTGCCGCTGAGAGAAAATCTGTCTCCAAATAAAGGGAAAAAGTAAATAAATCTAAAGCAATTGATTAAAACCATCAAATGACTCATTGATTAGAAAACTATTTCAATAATTCGATGTAATAATATAAATATTGAGGCTTCAGCTTTAGCAAATTTTTATCAACAAATATTTTCTGGAACTAGTATCGGCCAAATATGATCTCGTTTTATTCTTATATACTGTAAAATACACTTCAACAGAGGACCTGATCATATATCATCAAAATATCCAAGCAACTGGAAAAGAAAATGCCAGGGTACAAGTGTTATTGTTTCTTTTGGGCCTGCCTGCCAGAAAGGTAGTGATTGACTTTGTATTATCTAAAATACTAATTTACTTTCATTATTTTCTTTCTAAGAGCACAAGAAAGCCAGGACTAAACCAGTCTCCCTCATTTTCCCTAATAAATACATCAGAATGAAATAATGGTCATCTTTTCATTTTATTCCTTTTCTGCCAAACAAATTTTTTTTTCAAATCAAACTTGCAAACATATTGTAAAAGTTTAAGCTGATGTGTTCAACCAGGGGAAGCATGTATATGTGAGAAATGAGAAGAGTGAATCTCAACCATTCAATCACAGATAACTAAAGAATCAAGATTCACTTTCATATCTCTTAACAAGTTAGCTTTCTCACTAGATCTGTCCCTTGAAAGGTTCCATCATAATAACTAATTAGTTGGAAAGTAATTTCTGTATTTTCTGCTGTTTGGTGCAGCAATGAGTGGGGGAGGGAGGGATAGAGAAGGACAATGACTCCCTTTTCATGAAAAGTAAATACATTGAATACACCAGAAAATAATACAAAAATGTTCCACTTTTACGAGAGAGTGATTTAAATGAAAATATCTTCTGCAATCATGTTAATTTTTAAAAGAGTATAATTGTCAATAATTGTTTACCTGTGACATCTTAATCATACTTCACATCTATAAAACCAAGTAACAACAAAGACTGCAGAATAATAGCCATATCTGGCATGCAACCATCATATAGGACACTCTGGACACTTCAAATACTCCCAACAGCATTTTACTATTTTTCTTACTTCTATTTCTTCAACTGTTTTACCAGTACAGAAGGGAATATCACAATAATTAGATAAATTTTAACATTTTAGTTCAGTTAGAAATTACAATAATCCATGCTCATTTTTAAAACATTGATTCTCTCTTTTGATTTTATATTTGCATCTTACGTTAATTTTATACTAATTTAATATGTTGTACTATAGTCATGTCACCCATGTTCGTGTATGACAAAATTTATTTATCTGTAATTATGAAATGAGATAAGAAGACAAACAATTAAGACATAATATAACTAATATCTTGAATTGATTGGTCCAGAAATTAAATGAAAGGGCAAACCATTAAGGAAGACAATATAATTATAGTATGTTCTTCACCTTGGTGATCACAGCCTCAAGCTCTGAAAAACTATCTTCAGAAAATGATTCATCCAGAGCTTCATCATCTTCCATCTCTCCATAAAGTTTAATTTCATCAACTAATACACCTTTTTCAAGCAATACCTGCCAAATGGCATTTCCAAGAAGCTTGATATAAATTACAATTTTACAGTGACGGTACACAGATCTCCCCATAAAGTTTAATTTCATCAACTAATACATCTTTTTCAAGCAATACCTGCCAAATGGCCTTTCCAAGAAGCTTGATATAAATTAAAATTTCACAGTGACTGTACACAAACTAAAATATAGTACCTGCAGGAGCCCAGGAGCATCTTCCTCAAGTGCTTCTTGAACTGAATCACTGAACAATTCAACAGTTGGAATGATTGTTATAATTTATAATAGAATTATAGAAGTAAATTGGGCATAATTATTATAAAGGATAATTTAACACAACAGAATTAGATAGTACGTGGCAGTTTTTTTTCTTTTGCGTCTACGGTTGATGCTTGAAGGTTCAGCAGATTTTGAAAAAGTAG